GCATATTTTCTTTTTCTCATTATGTTATCTCAAAACAAACTTTGCAGTCTTAATTTCCCAGGGCTTTTAGCATGTGGTTAAATGCAAATAAAAAGATTCCAAATAGGGGTGTGTTGCGTTATTTTAAAAAACCCCTTCGGACACATATTTGCATATGAAGAGTGATTTCTGCAGCTGAATTCCCCATTGGTTAACACTACCTAGATAATATCTTCAGATAAACTAATCTCCGAACTTCTCAGGTCGACTTTTTGGCTTACATTGTGCCAAGATGCCTTTCAAACAAAAGATTTGCCTTCCAAAAAGTGGTTTTAAACAATGGTTCACTACAGCATATTTTTCTTAATTTATCTTTTTATTTAGAATGCTCTTAACTTGAGCAACATGGTCATTGAAAAATTTACTCTTCGTTTAGTACTGTGAAGAAACAAAGTTCTATGTCTTGGAAGGGAACAAATTAAGGAGTAATATGAGAAAACTGAATACTGAGGAATATAATTAAGATCAAGAGTGTGCATCCTTTTGCATCAGATTGAAGCTGATGTTTTTAAAGAATTTGACCTAAATGAATTATACATTTTGCGGATGATCATAATATTCTTTAGTGATATTTCTATTCAGAATGCCTCATCATTGGAGAAAAGTTGTTAAGATTGCACTGTGAATCACCAGTTAGAGGAGAAAACATATTTCATTTCTAGTCCTGGAAGCAATCATGCATACAGTATCCATATTAACTCAGCCTGGGTCCGTTTTATACCATGAACTTTACTGTTAAAAAAATGCCTTTGCCTAATCTAGCTTTCCCTTAGACTTAGTACAAACTCAGAACCCGTTGTCCCAGGTCAGCATTAGGGAATTAAAAACCCTCCAGCTAAATCTCAGAAATGTGCTTAAAGGAGAACATCTTACATTAGCAGTTTCTCGGCCACGGAGAGCACAGAATCATGGCCTGTTGTACTTTTAAAAGGGAAATTCAGAAATTAAAAAAAAAAAAATGGAAATGGACATCCTTTGGGATTGGAAAAGTTAGTTAATTCCAAATTTCTTTAATAATTGTAAGTGGTTCCTTTCCCACTGTAGAATTGTGAGCTATAAAATGTTTATATTTTTTTATGTGCAAATATTGTATATGAGACTCCTGCTACTATAGCCACCAGATGGGTCTTATAAAAAAAGTAAAGCTTCCATTTTTGCATCACCTTCTCAGAGATCTTAGATCGGCCCAGCTACTTTCAGGATGAAATTTAACTTGTGCTAACACTCAGAGCTCTTCTCATTCAGCAAATGTGGATTGAATGTCTACTATCTGCGAAGCACATTCCTACAAAGGTAGCTTGGAGACTTCACAGATCTTGTTCACCTTTTCTTAAACATGAACCCTCTGCTCTAAGCATACTGGTCTCCTCTGCACCCTCAAGCCCTTTTCTCTGTTTCTGGAATAGTTCCCCATTTTTGCCCCAGCCTATTTAAACCTTGCCCTAATCCACCCCGTTTGCAAAGTCTGCCAGTGTTCCATCACCCTCATTTCCTTCCTTGGCCGTGGCAGCCCATAAGGGCATCCTCTTCTTTCTTCACCCCTATTAAATTATGGGCATGTCTTATCCCGAAGATTCAAAGTGTAGAGGGAACTGTTTTATCATTTAAAAAAAAAAAAATCACACACAAAACAGAAATGAAAGATAAGAAAAGAGTCCTGTTATATATTATGTAAATATTAATTATTAATTTATATGGTACATTATGCTTAATACTCTGTAAGTATTAGCCAATTAATTTACTACTATATAAGGTAGAAACCTAAACTTTCCCTTTACTGAAATTTGATATTTAGCATTACCTCACTGGGATATTATACTTCCAATGAGTTTGAGACTAGGAAATATTTTTAAAAACTGGAGGGGTTTTAAAGTCAGTGCTCTTATAATCAGCAGGCCGGGAAAGAGCAATCAAATATTTTTTATATTAAATTGACAACTATTACAATAAAATTGACTATATACCCTATGCTATACTCTAAATCCTTGTGACTGTTTTGTAACTATTAATTTGTACTTCACTCTTTCACCATTTTTACCCAGCCCCCAAGCCCCCTCCCATCTGGCAATCACCAGTTTGTCCTCTGTATCTGTGAGTCCATTTTTGTTTAGTTTGTTTGTTTCTTTTGTTCCTTAGATTCCTCATGTAAGTGAAATCATATGGTTATTTATCTTCTCTATTTGACTTATTTCACTCAGCATAATAATACCCTCTATCTAGGTCAATCCATGTCATTGCAAATGGTAAGATTTCATTTTTTTAAATAACTGAGTAATATTCCATTGTATATATGCACCATAACTTCTTTATGGTACATATATATCCAGTCATCTATTGATGGGCATTTAGGTTGCTTCCTTGGCTATTGTGAATAGTGCTGCCATGAACATAAGGATGCATAGATCTTTACGAACTAGTATTTTAGTTTTCTTTGGATAAATACCCAGAAGTGCAATTGCTGGGTCAAAAGGCAGTTCTATTTTTAATATTATGAGACACCACCAAACTGTTTTGCAGAGTGGCTGTACCAATTTGCAATCCCATCAAAAGTGTACGAGGGTTCCATTTTCTCCATATCCTCACCAACATTTGTTGTGTTTTGATTTATTGATGATAGCCAATCTGACAGGTGTGAGGTGATATCTCATTGTGGTTTTAATTTGCATTTCTCTATTGATTAGTAATCTTGAGCATCTTTTCATATGTCCTCTTTGGAGAAATACTTATTCAGGCTTCTGCTCATTTTTTAATTGGATTGTTTGTTTTTTTGTTGTTGTTGTTGAGTTGTATAAGTTCCTGATAAATTTTGGCTATTAACCTTTGTCAGATGTATTGTAGGCAAAATATCTTCTCCCATTCAATAGGTCGTCTTTTTGTTTTGTTGATGGTTTCCTTGGCTGTGCAAAAACTTTTTATTTTGATGTCATCCCATTTGTTTATTTTTTTCTTTTCTCCCTTGTCTAAGGAGATATATCAGAAAAAAATTTCTAATAGCAATATCGGAGAGTTTGCTGTCTATGTTTCCTTCTAGAAGTTTTATGGTTTCAGGTCTTACATTTAAGTCTTTAATTTAGTTTGAGTTTATTCTTGTACATGGTGTAAGAAGGTGGTCCAGTTTCATTTTTTTTGCATGTATCTGTGTGGTTTTCTCAGCACCATTTATTGAATTCTTGGCAACCAAATGTATGCTTAGCTACCAAATTTACTATATGCTTTAGGAAGGATTACTTCAAAAGACATTACTAATGAAAAGTATGAGATTGCTCAATGAGGCTATGATTTGTCTGAACTTGTACTACAAGTAGATGGCAAAACAAAGCCACTTACTAAAAACCACCACTAAACCATCATATTCCCAGGGGACTAGCAATACTTGATTGGCAACTTTCTCCTTAGAAGACAGTATGGTCTGTGAGATTCAGAGTTCATTCTTTTGTCTTGTTTTCAAATTGAAACTCCGCTGATCGATTTTCTCCCCAGGACAGTGTACCCTATTCAATAATTCCTTAAAAATTGGCTGCTCTTTACAAATACTCATAGTTATAAACTTGGCTCAGGCTCCAGAAACCAATCCTCTAGGAAACTTTCATGATGCCCCCTCTCCTTTTTCGTGCTCCACTCACACTTGGTGCTGGCAATTACTATACTGCTGGCACACTGTAAGTACTCAACAGATGTTTGAACTACACTGATTTGCAGTATTTCCTCCAAAACTTCTAGAAATAGTTAATGTTTATGAAAAATGTGCCTCAGACAGAGTACATCATCGAAGATAAATACATTAGGGTTACCATGTCTTGCCAAACGTTTTTGTTCCAAAGGCATCCCCCACTCCTTTTTTCTGGCGTATTCTTGCCAGAACTTAAAATATGGAGGGAGGGCAAAAACATTCCAACTTAATGATATCAGACATTTTATTATAGCTGTTTTTTTCCCCCATAACATAAGTATGCTTTCAAATTGAATGTCTCAACTTTATCATTCTGTGTTTGATATGTACTCACAAAAGTTACCACTCCCTTTCACTCTCTTCTGGCATAAAACATGACTGAAATAATGGGAAATTTAAGATAAAGCTTTGTTTGTAATAGTCAAGTTAGACTAAGTTATGCTGTAGTAACAAACACCACCAAAATCTCAGTGCTTAACATAACAGAGGTTTACTTTTTGCTGGTGGGAAAATCACTGAGAGCCCAGGACAACTGACCTCCATGTGGTGGCCCATCATTCCAGGCTGCTTCGATCTTGAGACACTCCCATATCGACATGTGTTTTTACCATTGCTGTGTCAGGGATGGGAGCCTGGCGAATTGTACCCTGACTCTTCAATGTTTCTGGCTGGAAGAAGCACAAGTATAACTAACCCTAAAGAGCAGGAAAATCTAATCCTTTCTGATGGGGGAGAGGACTGAAAAAACTAATGGGTGCTAGCAATGTCTACCAAATCAATTTTTGGCTCCCAGAAAGAGGGGCTGTCATAGTCTTATATTGTGATCTCTTCCAACTTTAAGCATTTACTTATAGTCTCAGCAGG